ATCTTCAAACGCAAGAAAGTGAAGTACGCTAATTAATTCTGGAATAATTCTGGAAGATTGGCATTATTATGGTCAGGGCTGAACCACCGTATCCCGAAATTGGCTTTTGAGCAATTTTGAACAACTGTGTTTGCTAATGTTACAGTACACCTAAACACTCACGTAACTAATCCACGCTGCTTCATACTATGTCCATGCCACATTCCACGATCGTACGCTGACGGAATTGGCTCATGCGTATCCAAACACATATGGACGTAGCGTTCGTAGCAAAAACGGCACATCGGTCGACGGCGTTTCTGCAAAAAACGGCACCGTACAGTTTTGTCTGAACAGTGGAACTCTTGCATCTAACCATTTCCAGTACTCGACACCAGTACAAATAGCGTCGAACGAGTCGAGGACGACGCGGCCATGGTGATCTATACAGTAGCAGTGGTAAGCCACTGCTGGAGCTGCTCACCGAGTTAGTCGACGACGACATAAGGCTGTTATTGTTGGCAGAAGTAAGCATTCCCGAACTGTGACCGACATTGGAACCAGTTGAAAGCATAATCTGCGCCGACACGTTCATTGGGGATCTCTGGGGAAGAGTCAAGTCGAGGGCAGCGAGACTTGGGATTTGATATGATGAGAGCAGATTGTCCTGTAGCGGAGTCGGCAGAAGGCCATTTGTCGGATTCGTCGTTGTTGTGAGTGCTTCTGGAGCATGCTTGGAGATCTCAGCTTCAGAAGCCAATGGTGGCACGCCATCGCCAATGTTGGTGCGTGGTGGGCTCGTCGACGAAGCTGGCGTTGGTGGTGGTGTCAAAGATGATAATGCAGCAAATTCCTGGAAAAGATTCAATTCAGAACATCTCTGAAGCATCCATTGGTAAAGTCTTGAATAGAACCTCAGCAAGCTCTCCGATGCCGAAATCGAGATTTGCCAAACCATCTTTTACTGAAGAGGTCTGAAAAGACTTCCGGATTAAGCAGATGTTACCGTAAGGCTCATTTCCAAGTTTGAGTCAAAGCTTGAACAATGTCATGCTTTATCAAAAACGGAAATCAGCAAGTCCTCATTTGCACCCTTAGAAATCTCTGGTGTCCCTC